ATTTTAACATATATTTTAGACAAACTGATTAATTTCCTACAGAAGTATAATATTTTTATAATAAATAATATTTTTTTGTTTTTTACATTCACGAAACAAAACATGTTGGGTTTAATGTATTCTGCATGACCGAAATAAAAATATATGTATATAGGTACTTCATTAAAGTAAGTAATTATCTTGTAGGTTCTGAAGGAACGCTTGGAGTTATCACGGAGGTCATTTTGAAAATACGCCCCCTTCCCAAATTTAAGAAGTACGGTTCTGTTGTATTCCCAAATTTTGAAGCAGGAGTAAAATGTATGCGAGAAGTGGCTCGGGAGAGATGTCAGCCTGCCTCCATTCGTCTTATGGATAATAATCAATTTAAATTTGGTCAAACTCTCCGACCCGAACCGGGCTACTTCGGGCTTCTCCTAGATAGCATAAAAAGGATTTACCTTACGAAAATAAAGGGGTTTGATGTGGATTCTATGTGTGTTGCGACTCTTCTTTTCGAAGGTGACAAAGAAGATATCGAAGGAAACGAAAAGAAAATTAATAGAATAGCTGCAAAGTATGGAGGAATTCCAGCAGGAGAAAGAAACGGCGAACGTGGTTATCTCCTCACTTTTGTTATCGCTTACATTAGAGTAAGAATGTTTTAATACTTTTTATTGAATTTTCTATTACACAGAATACATAGAAAATTCATTTTTAGATGTTAAAACTTTTTTGTGCGTATTCAAACAAAAAAAAATTATTTACGTTTTTGTACATTTAAAAAAGAAAAATTGAAAATGTTGGAATTTAATAATACATTTTTAATTTATGTTGATGTAACATATAAAGCGGAAAGTACACTAGAGTGGGTTGAAAACTGCATTTTGAACAATGGAATTTTTGACCCACATTGATTGTTTATAATGTATATGTAATTATTCATTTATAAGGGCATTCATATTTAATTTAAAATTATACAGTCATAATCAGATTACACCACTATTACTTGATGCATATAAAATGCAAGAAAATCATTTCTACCGAAGTGTAGGCATTACTACAAAATTTAACATGAAAAATACCAAATGTGATTCATTTCCAATTCAATTAGGGGAAATGCCATAAAAAAATCGATTTTAGAAGTACTTTTATATAACTCTTATTACATACGCAAACCAGTATCTCCTTTTATATCGAATACTGCTTAAAGTATATTTCCCTATCATTTAGTAATTATAAAAAGATACATTTTACATACCTAATGCACATTATTATTATAGGACCTTGGCTTGGAATATTACGTGATGGCTGAATCGTTTGAAACATCCGTTCCGTGGGATCGTACGACAACACTTTGTCGTAATGTGAAAAATAGAGTGTCGAAGGAATGTAAACGGTATGGTATCACGCATTATATGCTTTCTTCCCGAGTTACCCAAACTTACGATGCTGGTTCAGTGGTGTACTTCTACTTTGCCTTTAATTATAAAAATTTAAAAAATCCTGTTGAGGTATTCGAGGACATAGAATGTAAAGCCAGGGATGAGATAATTGCCAGTGGGGGCAGTTTGTCTCATCATCACGGTGTTGGTAAAATACGAAAGAAGTGGTATGCAAGTACTGTATCCGATGTGGGCGTGGCACTTTTTAGTGCAGCCAAACGCGAACTCGACCCTAACAACGTGTTCGCGAGTGGTAATTTGTCGAGCAAATTGTAATGACCATGCTGAAGTTGTTCTTTCAAAAATTAAATTACCTCAATTTTGAATTTCTGGTGTTAGTCCGTCGTGATTTAACAAGTATAGAATATCTCTTTAAGGAGGTTGACACTATAGGGTGTGGGACAACGGTGCGGGGAAAGCGTCTGTGTATATTTGTACACACTCGTACATATCTCGTTTTCATTTACATCCATTTGTGGGTTTGAGTGAGCACCACTTTTCACACATTTATCATTCTTTTAATTTAAAAAAACCGTTTCTTATTCGTTCTAATAATTTACAGATATTTTTGTAAATGACTAAGGAATGTATGCTGTGATTTTCAGCAACTGCTCTCTCTCTCTCATGTTACTTTGAAATACTCTCGAAATTATGCAGTTCTGATAAGAATGCATGTTCAATGTTCATTTATATATTTAATATCTCTTAAATTATTCTTCTGATGGATTTGAAATTTTGTAACGATATTTTAAATATAAGTGTCTTGTTATTTCCAAAGATTTGTCGAAATCTCTCTGATATTTTTTTATGGTGTCAGTTTCCTTAACAGGTTCAGATATTAAATTTTTAGACATCCAAGCCCTTAGTTTGTACGTTTAACGTAGGATAGTAGGAATAAATCATTTGCAAAAGATTATTTTCTTGTGCGGTTGTAAATGAGGTTTTCTTGAAATTTAGTACCCCGACATAGTTTAAAAAAACATTTAAATTNTGGGCTTTCAATGTAGTGGCATTAAGTCTGCCGTATGTTCATTCTTGTTTCCATAAGAAAAACAAAACGCTAACTCATATTTTCATTAAATTTATTTATTATTTTTCTCTAATTTCATACAAAAAACAATATAGGAAGACAATTCTATAAATGCAGACGTGGTAAAGAAGGAGGTGGTTGCGACTTCTTTTTGTGGGCTGATGAAGACCGTAATTTAACTTTAAACAATACACGGGTACTTCCGGGAGCAAGTACTACACCAGTATGTATGTGTAATACACCAGCTACATTAAGAACAGTTTCAAAAGCAGGTCCTAACAAAGGTCGACAATTTTATTGTTGCCCTAAACCGATGGGACAGGGATGTAACTTTTTCAAGTGGGCAGACGAGGTTTGTAAACTTCTTATTACTTAAATTTTTATCCAATTTTTTAAAGAAAACGTAATACTTTGGTATTTATTTAAAGAAGAATCTCAAAAATAATAATTGTTTATTCCTCAGTTTGGTATAGTTCAAGTTGTTTCTCGTTATTGCTGATATTGATTGTTAGTGTAATGATATTTTTGTTTAGACGGACAATAGGAGTACAAACAATGGTAACGATGGTGATGATGATGACGATGACCCCGCAGACGATGATGGTTGGGGAGGTAGAGGTGGTGGTCGAAGTATTTTAAATACGTCTGCTACATTCAAGGGAGCAAGCAATTGGAAAAAAAATTCAGGAGGAAAGGCTAAGGGTAGAACGAAAAGTACAACTCGTCAAGTTCCCTACCAAAAGCCGAGGGGCAAAAGAAAATGCGGAATTTGTGGACAAGAAGGTAATACGTTTATTTCGTCACTTTCTATTGAAAGCTACCTTATTTCACATGGAATATAATCAGGTTAATCAAGTATTAATACAATTTATTTTTTCTAGGCCACACAAGGAAAAACTGCCCAAATAGTTGAAGAAGTAAGAAACTTAAGTCACTTTTTTGTACAGTGTATATAATATTTTGTTAATATTGACAAGTATTAGTAGATAAATAAATCTTTTGTACGTTGTCATGGTGTATCCTGTGAACTTGATTAATTGTTAAAAACTTCTGTTTTTAATTTCTCAATTTCCCTTTGCTGTATATGACTATCTATAGTAGTTTCTGTTAACTGTAATGCATAGTAATAATGATTAGAGTATTAAATTTCCAACAAATCAATAGATGCAAGACATTACCATATTCATAAAACATTCAAGTTTGAGTTTAAGCAGGTTATTTTCCTCTTCTAAAGTTTGTATCCTTAAATTTTGTTTTTTTAGAGCTTTATGCATGGCTCCTTGAACTCCATTTTCTGTTAATAAATTACAATGTGATATAATATTAGCACAAGCATAGCTCGTTATAAACGAACACTGCTTCTTTAAAAATGCTGAATAATAGTTATATGACGGTATATATTAAAAAATTAGACATAATTATGTAATCAAATTTTGAAAGCCAAAATTATAATCTCTTTTTACATTACCTAAACAAGAATTTTCTCCTAAAACATACTACAAATTATTTTTCTCAATCATATAAGAAAATATTATATACAGGAGGAGCTAGCATTGCTTTAAATTTAATAGCGCATGTATTGTTGGAGATGAAGAAAAGTTTAATACATAACTAACTGGTTTTTTTTTAATTGAAAAAACTTGCAGTCAAAAACTAGTTTTGTTATGAATGTCGATCTGGCATCGTATATTTTTCTCTAAGAACGGAAAACTATATTTTGTAAAAAAAATCATATTANTTTATTAAAAACATTCGACGTTTTCTTTTCAGTTTGTAAAAGATATTTTAAATAAAAATGTTTTCCTTCTAAGCAAATCCTGATCAGAGACGTCGTGATTATTACTAGACGTGTCTACCGCCATTACTTCCTATATTGACATTTTTGTAATTTTTTCAATTTGCAATCTTCATTATTATGATTTGATTACTTTGTTTTGAACAATTTAAAGCCTAACAATAATTGAAGCACCAAAGAGTATTTATTTATTTAATTACTGTTATTTTAATAACTTTTTACTCGCACACAGAATTATTAATTTTTTTAATAGTAGTGGAGTAAATTATTGTTGAAATCGAATTTACATAAGTATGTTGAATTAAAATGACTGTATTTTGTTTCTTTTAATTTTTTAAGTTATTCCTAATGTCGAAATACTATTGTCTTTATTATTTTCTGCGTTGGTGGTGCATATGAGAGATGTGCATATATGTATGTTATTACCTCCAGAGTGCGTTGGTATGGAAAATGTGTTCATATTTATTTATATCTTAAGAGAATAAAAATGTGCCATAAATAGAACTAAAATCAAATGGTACTTTCATAATTATATAAGTTTTGTCGAAATAATAAAACAGTAAGAAGATACTTTTATGCCGTTTGCGGTAATAGGAATTTAAAGCTATTATTATACATACATACTTGTGTTAGTACGAATGTCTGAATAATGGTGAATTGTAATATTTACCAAAGAAGAATGTAATATTTCTAAATATTATTTACGATAATAGAAAAGCGTAACTAAAAAAACTATTTGAAGGATTTTGAAAATTTAAAGCTGTCCTTTGGTATACCTTAGTATATATCAGTGCGAATTGGTAAAAGTACGAATCATATAAGAAAATATTATATACAGGAGGAGCTAGCATTGCTTTAAATTTAATAGCGCATGTATTGTTGGAGATGAAGAAAAGTTTAATACATAACTAACTGGTTTTTTTTTAATTGAAAAAACTTGCAGTCAAAAACTAGTTTTGTTATGAATGTCGATCTGGCATCGTATATTTTTCTCTAAGAACGGAAAACTATATTTTGTAAAAAAAATCATATTAATGATCACTGATCAGTAAAGCTATCCGTCCACCTAAAATCCCGTTTTATGGTACATTGTGGGTCACTACTAGAATATAGTTTGTAAAGCTAAATTTAACTGTAGAAGTTGCAATATAATTTACTATTAGTCATAATTTTATTTGTATTTTTCCACGTAAACCTTTTCAGAGAGTTAAATTGTAGGTAGATAAGTATTGTTTTAAATATATGTTTTTTTTTGTTTAAGTAAACGTAATAAAAAAAAAAACTCACCTAAAACCCATTTTCCATTTTGAAATGTTAAAATATAATCACCTAATGCAAGTTTCGTACTGCTGTCTTTTTCAATTAATTTATCTGGAGATTTAGAGCTGTTGTGTAGGAAACTCTTTCGCGAAGAAGGTTTTTTTGGTGAAAATTTATTTCCAAAGAAAGGCATTTCATAAAATGTTTGAAAAGACAATTTTAAATTATTGACAGTATGTCAAAAACAGTAACAATACAAACAAAGATTCCTATTTATTATTTATATGTTTTATCTATGGTTTAACAGTGCCATCTATTATAAATAAATCAAAAGAAGTAAAGTTATTGAAAAAAGTAATCTATAATCATACTCTGGTCTGTAATAAATATGTTATCTGTCAAAGACTTTTTAATTAAGCCGGTTTATAAGCTTAAATTGTTGTTAGTTGTCACTGTTCGTCAAATTGTTTTAAGTGACGCCGAGAGTAAAACTCCGCGACATTTAAACTGTATTCATTGATATTTAGTTTTAAACAAAATAGAATACCGAATTCGTTTTTGATGCTTTTGAAATGTCAAACCCATGCCAAAAAGTACAGATTAATGAGAAAATCAATTCCAATACCCTTACAAAGGATACTAATTTAATTAACAATAATCAGTTACAACTATTAAAACAAAATAGAAAATTTGAAAATTCTATTATTGTGAAAAGCATTGTCCCTAAAGACAGGTAAGAAATTGTAATTAATTATTTTATTTGATTATACTTATTAAAAATGTATTTTAAATTTGTTGGTAAATATTACCTAAAATGTAGGTTGAGTTTTAGATTGAATTAAGTACTTGTATACTATTTTGGAATTAATGTTACTTGTATGCATTATGTCATTGACCAAAAGGTGTGACAAAAAAGTTCCAGTATGAGCCAAAAGTGACTCATATTTTTCCTTAATTTTACTTGTTTATATTAGAGATACTAAATAATTACTTAATTCCACGTTAAAAGTGTGTTACAATAAAGCATAAACACATTATCAAGTATTTTTGCTTTTTTATACCAAAATGTTAAAATTGATTTTTATTTCTATATAGACAGCTTCTACTGAAGTGGAATGGATGGGGGTACAATGATTCTAAGTTTGTTGTTCAGAATGGAATTGTTCACTTTACTGGGTCAAGGTAAGTACAATAAGAAATAGCTTATTGTATGCAACTATTGTTTGTAAGAACACAGTGCATGACATTAATTATTAATAAGACAAAAAGAATTTAAAATTTTAAATAAAGATTACCCCACCAGACTATTGAAGACTTTATATCTGAACCATTTTGGAGAATAAAAAGTAAGTGTGTAAAGCAGTGATATTAAATATTTAAATTTTGATTAATGATATGATTATTAAATCATNTATTATTATACATACATACTTGTGTTAGTACGAATGTCTGAATAATGGTGAATTGTAATATTTACCAAAGAAGAATGTAATATTTCTAAATATTATTTACGATAATAGAAAAGCGTAACTAAAAAAACTATTTGAAGGATTTTGAAAATTTAAAGCTGTCCTTTGGTATACCTTAGTATATATCAGTGCGAATTGGTAAAAGTACGAAATGAATGAAATGCAAGGTGTTTTGGTCATTTATCAATGTCTTGTTATTTGTAAATTTTTAATTTTAAATCTTAGAGCTATTACAGTAACATGTACGGTAATGGTGTTTTAATGTTCTTTACTTTACAGAACGTGGTTTCTTTTTAATTAATTTAAATTCAACTGATACATTTTTGATGATGCTTTTTCTATATTTATTACGAATTACAATCTTGTAATGCAATTATACAAATATTGGAAAACCCTATTCTAAAGTTATTACTTTATTTGATAAATTGATATATTGTTATACTTACTTTTTATTATTTAAATAAACTTTTACATGCATACAAGACGAATGTTGAAGTACAATATTTGTTTAAGTTAAGCATTGAATAATGAACATGCATCAACTATGACTTAATTGCTTATTGAATATATTATATATCATTCACATCACCTAGTCACTACATTTTGTTATTGCAGTTATTTCTTTAGTGCAATAATAATGTCTTTAAGTCTTTAATTTATAATAACAGTTTTAGTTATACGCTTTTGAATTTTTTTCTCATAATTTTTGTGCATCATCATTCTTACAGTAAATGTTACGCGCTTATGCTTTTTACGATTTCAGTGCTAGGCCAGTATTTTTTTTTGTACCTTACAATTGTATGATAGGTGTCATTTGCATGATGTACTTTTACTACTGTTACCATTATAATAAAAAACCTGATATTTATGTTTTAAAATACATTTCATTTAAAAATTTTCCTTTATTGAAATATAAAGCAGTAAGAATAATCAAGTTAACATACACAGAAGCAGATGGTGTATCAAATTAATATATTTGTAACAATATTATTTTTTTACAACTTGAATAACATCTTCATCATGCATGATGTGTGATATACCAACTCTTTGGGGTGAATATTTAGTACTAGTACCCCAAACGAGAGCGTATTTAAAAGCCTGAACTAAGTTTCGATGAATGGCATGGCACACATGCTCAACACTAACACCTTTTCTCAAAATTAACCCATCAGCAAAATCAGGAGGTTGACCAGGCTTCTTTGTGTAGACTCGTATTAAAGATAAATATTCCCATAACACTTCTAGTAAATAGTCCAGATTTAATTTCATGTTACAACTGAAACAATGGTAAAAGTGAGAAAATTAAAAATCAAATCATGTAATTTTCATAAAATTTCATTATTTTACATATATCACCATTTTGTGGCTTCTGCAGATGTTACTGTTAAGTAAATTTTATGGAAATTATAATTTAAAATAATTTCCACAGAGTAAAGGTAGATTCAANTACAAAGGATACTAATTTAATTAACAATAATCAGTTACAACTATTAAAACAAAATAGAAAATTTGAAAATTCTATTATTGTGAAAAGCATTGTCCCTAAAGACAGGTAAGAAATTGTAATTAATTATTTTATTTGATTATACTTATTAAAAATGTATTTTAAATTTGTTGGTAAATATTACCTAAAATGTAGGTTGAGTTTTAGATTGAATTAAGTACTTGTATACTATTTTGGAATTAATGTTACTTGTATGCATTATGTCATTGACCAAAAGGTGTGACAAAAAAGTTCCAGTATGAGCCAAAAGTGACTCATATTTTTCCTTAATTTTACTTGTTTATATTAGAGATACTAAATAATTACTTAATTCCACGTTAAAAGTGTGTTACAATAAAGCATAAACACATTATCAAGTATTTTTGCTTTTTTATACCAAAATGTTAAAATTGATTTTTATTTCTATATAGACAGCTTCTACTGAAGTGGAATGGATGGGGGTACAATGATTCTAAGTTTGTTGTTCAGAATGGAATTGTTCACTTTACTGGGTCAAGGTAAGTACAATAAGAAATAGCTTATTGTATGCAACTATTGTTTGTAAGAACACAGTGCATGACATTAATTATTAATAAGACAAAAAGAATTTAAAATTTTAAATAAAGATTACCCCACCAGAATTATTCAATCATTTTGATGTAATATATATAAGCATTTTTTTAAGGTCTGTATGCTTTGTTATTTTATCAAATGATAAATACCTACTTGCTTTATCTTGTTTATTGATAATAGTATATTAATGTGCATGTACATGGTTTGCTTTGCGTTTACTGATAAATCATAAGGTGATATTTATTTCTATTTTAACAGGTACCTATAGGTAATTATTAGCACATTTCAAGGAACCGAAAGTTTAGAACTTTAAAAAATTTTTATCATTGAAATACACAAAAGGTGTTTTGAGAAAAAACATTTCTTACCTATGTGAACTAATTTGACGCCCCGGTACTTTTCAATCCCCGGCCGGAATATTCTCCCTATGGTTCGGGGTGTAGTATTTACTATTAGTAAGATATGTTTTGAAAATTTCCAAAAAACTCTTCCTTTATGAATTTTTGCAAAATCTTAAAACAAAGGATGTAATTTTGGTAAATCTTCTAAATCGATTCCACCGTTCCATTAAATTGAGGGTCGAGTGATGTTTTTTTTTTCTTTTTGGAAAGTTCAGGTCAAGACCTTTCGAATGGTATTATTCTTAGTGCGCAGCGCAGAAGTTAACATTTGACTCATTTTAACAACTACTCTATTTAGAGCCTCACTTATTCAAGAGGTACGAAAAACCCTTGGAAGTTAGGTGACGCTCCAAGTACAGTTTCCCAAACAGATCAAAGGTTACTTTCTCCGTGCATTCGAAATAACCTGGCTTAAGCTTTCCGAATAAGTACCTACCACTCGACCCTCAATTCAGTGGACCCATTCGAAAAATAAGTTGTAATTTTGTCGTAGTTATTGAAAACAGTTTAAAATTAAAAAAGAAATTTGTACCATTCTTCTGCTATTACCTACTTACAATAAAGGCCGAATTCTAATTGGTAAATTGTCATTAATGTTTTTAATATCATCTGATATATTTTATAGGTGTTTAGATTAACAGAAGTTCAAAAAGCTTTACAATTTTAATTTTTAGTTATTTATTACTTTTTTGTTATACATATTTTATCTCCCGACACTTGGAACCATTAGAGGGTATTCCAATGAAACTGCAAAAATTATTAAAACGTTATGACGGTTCTATAAAATTTTTGTATGTGCTGATATGAATATGAAGCATGATCGATCTATCATCGTAGGTACTGATAATAAAATGTGCTCATATAACTAACTTCTCAGTATCTTAGTCGTACTTGAACATACTCATTTATATTTATTAATCATAGAAATTATAATTGGAATTGATTTTAATTGTTATTAATGTTCCATTAGATTTTTATTAGTACCATTTATACCATTATCAAAGTGTTATACTCTTTCATATTTTGATAATGGTGTAAAAGCCGAAACAAATTCGTCAGAATACATGACAATTTTGTGAAATATACCAAGTGCTTTCTTTTCGATATTTTAGTTTTATTTAAAATGTTTCATCAAGTGATTAACGACTGCATGATTACCAATATTTTAATGTATTTGTATGATAAGAACTTCTAATTGAAAATTTACGACTGCCATAATATAATAATATAATTTTAACATTCAAAACTCAGTATAATACCTATATTAAAATCATATAGTTTGT